TCCCAAAGCAAATCAAGGTACTCATCAGCTGTACGATATATTTTGGAGAGAAATAGAGGTCTTGGTCCTTTCTTCAATTCTTGATCTCTTTCTCTTCCCCTGTGTTTTGATGTTGATCCTTTATTTAAATTGTCAGTTTTATGCTTTCAATATGTCTCAGCTTCGCTTCTCTAAGAATGTATATTCATTTTTATTCATGTACTCAACTTCAGAAAATCTATGCCTTTTGTCATAGCCAGATTTTGTCACACACACACACACACACACACACACACACACACACACACGTATTGCACATAAGAGCATACTTTGTTCTAAATTCACTGTTTACAGATTTAAAAAGAAGCTGTTCCTAAACCATCTGTCTTTTATTATTTTTACTTTTATAAAAGCTTTAACAGGATTATTTTAAAGATTCTGATTTATAATTTTTAGATTTAATTTTTAAAGAAATTGATATTTCTATTACTTCAAGGAACATCAGTTAAAAAGAAATGGATGTATCTGTCATAATTTCCACTTACAAAATGTAAGACTCTGAAGCAATTTTTAAACCTAAACAAAACAAAAAGAATTATATATCGAGGGGACAGAAATGTCATTGGCCCAGGAAGCACAAATACTACAAAATGAATAAAAATTATTTGCTATTGATTTGACAAAGAGCTTTAACAATTATGTGTTATGTTGGATATTGCAGTCTATTAAATATGTTATGCCTACTTTCAGAATGAATAATTTGATTGTCATCTTTTTCAGAGGCACATTATTTTCCAAAAATAATACAAGAAATCAGTTTATTATAGATATGTAATTCTTTGCTATCTGTTCTTGTCTCGTTTTTCTTATAAAGCAATGTTGCATGAGTATTTTGCTAGTCAAGCATCTGACCTTTAATAAGGGAAATAACGATTAAGAGGAAGTTATTAGTTGCCACAAAATCCTGAAATTTACATGGATAAAGACAAAGGGAAAGTTTTTGATCATTTTTTAGGAATATAGAGGCTAAATCTAATATCAGATATTATTTGGTCAAATGATAAAATGGTATTCTGGAGATAATTTAAATCAAAATTGATTTAAATTTAAAGCCAAATATATACAAATGACTTTCTTGATTCAACAAATCTCCAATAAATTGCCACTTAATTTCACTATTATTTTATTCAAACCAGATTATAATTTTCATTCTCCAATTTCTCTTCCATCGTTTTGATTCTTTGTATTTACCCAAATTCTGCATCAGCACCCAAATCCTGCTCAGCTCATTGATTTGTAATTTCAATCAAAAGTGGTGTCCTATTTAGACAGCAGAACAGTCTAATAAAAAAATATGCCAGTTAGTAAACTTCCTAGCCTTGGGAACATCCCACTGATCCAATTTAGGCAAGATTAAATGCTAATGCAAGCAATTTATGTAAGTAAATAAAGTAGTAGTGGAGAATTGAACTCACAGCCACAGAGAAGTATAGAGTTTATTCTGTAAAAGACAACCTCATGTTTCATCACCTGCTTATATGAAAATTCAGAAATGATCAGATCAAATATGTTCTAATGTAATTCATAATTAAACTAGTAATATGCATTATAAGCAAGAGGTCCAATCCACAGAATTAAATGAATATAGATAATAACAGTTACACTTAGAAGTACAGATCCTTAAGTCATAATCAGGAAAAAGAAGTACAGCCAGGTTATTTCAGCCATTCCATTTTAATTTACTAATTATTTTCTTAGTTTGATAACTACTGACAGAAATTTAGCTTCTGCAAGAAACACGTTGCAATTTCTATCAAGAGCTGTTGGATCTGCCTAGCATCCATTTCAGTCTCAACATGCTTTCACATGGAAATTATAAACAGAAGAACATGTTTCAGTGACTTAGTTCTTATTATTACAAAGACATGGTCTTGGTGCAAATGGAATCTCTTCAAATATGCTTTTAATCATGTGTGAAAGAAGAATTTTTGATTTAGCTTTGATAAAAGCAATCAAGTATTTAACCTAGTATTGGTTGAAGCAAACAAGGAGCCAACTGAAAGGAACAATTATAATTGATGTCTTAATTCCATAGTGAGCAAGACAACTTAGCCTTATCTATAGGAACTTGCCCAGAGAATTGCATAATCTCTATCTACTTAGAAGCAATGCAGGTATATGGCCACCTTGGAATAAATAATCCAGTTCAGACATTTTTTTTTAATAATCTAGAGAAACTACTGCTTAAATATCTGAACAATAACTATTGGTATTTTAAAGCCCTAGATTTTACAGGAGAGCTTTACTGTTGGCTTACCATATTTTGATTTCAAGAGACATTGTCCAAACTTAAACAGAGCAATAGCAAAAAAATTAAGCTTCCATTTTTAAAAAAAAAGGACACTTAAAATTTTGCCTGTAAAGTTTGCATATTTGAAAATTGACTTAATCCAGATTTTGACCCTATACAAAAGTTCCCAGTGGAAAACTTTGTTTAACTACTAAGAGTGTGTGTGTGTGTGTGTGTGTGTGTGTGTGTGTGTGTGTAAAGAAACCACACAGGGTGGCTTCAGCATTTTGCAATACAAGATTTGCAAGAGAAGAGACTTAACAAAGGGACCATAATCATGAAAATAGAATAAATCTATTCAATTCTATTTTTTTATTTATCTATAAATAAATAAAATTTCTTACTTGTTCTACAGGCTAATTATAAACATCCTATCTTAATTTTATAATATTTTTCTTAATTTATTTTCTTAGGTTTACTTGGAAAACATCCCTTGCAATAATCTGTGTGGCATTGAAAAGTTCAGCTCAAGTTTTGGGAGAAGAAAGAGCAGATTAAAGATGACTCCATGGAAAGTGACCCGATGATTACAACAAAATGAAAAACTAATGAGTAGACAAGAAAAGAATTTGAAACTGTCCATACATGCTCCAGACAGTTACTCCTCACAAGGAGACTGCAAGACAGCAGTCTCCAACAAGTTAGAGTCCTGAAAGATGAGGGAATAGCCTTCTTACTCAAATGCAGTTGATGGTTTTGAAAGATCACTAAATTTACAAAATGTCTTATCTAATCACTTTTGGAAATTACTTTAGCTGTTTTTCAGCTATTAGGAGCTGTACCATTGACAAGTGCTATAGAAGCGGATGAGTTTTCTTCAATCCTTAGTGAAAATACTGTTAACTACAAATTTATGAATTTGAAAATATTTTTAGAATAAATAGCAAAAGGGTGAATAAAACTTTGAGTTTAGAAAGTTACAAATGGACTAAGCGTCCAGATAAATTTAAAGTAAGGTTTTGGAATTAATTAGGATTAATTATTTGTATTAAAGAATCCTTCCTATGGGAAAATGCTGTTGCCTTGAAAATTAAAAAAAATAGTAACACAAGAGTTTAAAAATTCATTGGAGAGAACTAGAGAAAACTATATATTATAATTAAAAGAAAAGTACATTTAAGTTTCACTTACTAATGCAGAATGAAGCAAAATATTGAACGGATTTTTTTTAACAATAGACCTGGAAGTTTATTTTAATAGTATCTACCTCTATTGATACTGTGTTTAAAAGACATTATGAAAGACGAATGAATTTTACCTGACAAAATTGAGTCTGATTTGAAAGTGGGTTTAAAAATGACAGGCTAGAACAGTGGGTCCCAAACTTTTTCAGTCCACTGCCCCCTTGGTGCTACAAACTCATCCTTGGTGCCCTCCACTCAAGATTGGAATTCAAATTTCTGTGGGTGTGGCCTAATTTTAGGGTGTGGTTTGCTGGTCATGTGACTGGGTGGGCATGGCCAGGTGATTGGCAAACCAAATACAAGTGGTCCTCACTTAATGGCCAGTTGTTTAGCAAGTGTTCTAATTTATGACTGGCCTCCCCAGAGCTACTTGACCTGTTTTTGGAGTTTTGACAGCCATGCACACACATACACACACTCTCCCTTCCAACCCTGCTGGAGCAGGTCATTGAACTAGAATCAGCAAGGCATCTCTGATTAGTTTCTAGCAGTGAATAGAATCTAATCAGAGATGCCTTGCTGATTCTTGTTCATAATTATTTGTATTTCTTTATTTTATATTGCTGAATTGCATTGACATGTGTCCCTTCTTGTGCACAACCCAGAAGCTTTTGTGATTCTTTGCAGAAAAAATTACCGACCTCTGGTTTTGCTCTACTTTTCAAATGTGCTGCCACTGCCGCGTTCTAGGTGCCAGCCCCGCAGGTCCACCCTATTGAGCCCTCAGCACCGAGCATTGAGCACTGAGCACCGAGCACCCCATTGAGCCCAAGCAAGTTCGAGTGTAGCAGTGTACCAAGTCAATGGGGTGAGCCTAAGAGAGGGAAAGAGAGAGAAAGAAAAGAAAAAGAGAGAGAAAGAGAGAAGGAAGAAAAGAAAGAGCAAAGGGAAAGAAAAAAAGGGGACAGGCAAAGAAAGGGGGAGATGGAAGGGACAGAAAGAAAAAGAAATAAAGAAGGAGGGAGGGAGGGAGGAGTAAGATAATGAGATATCTATTCTAGTCCAATCACCTGCTCCAGCAGGGTTAGAAGGGAGTGTGTGTGTGTGTGTGTGTGTGTGTGTGTGTGTGTGTTTTCCCTGTAATTTACCAGTACATTTTGGTTTTGCCTTCTTCAGAATTGGCACTATAATACATTGGGGAAAAGTAATTTTTTAGGGTGGAGATCTGATCCAATGGATCCTGTTTAAAGCCTCAACAAAATGTGAGAGCTTCCTGTTGGTCTTGACCATGTTTCATCCACAAGACCTTTAATAGAAGCCAAAGGTGTTTCAATGTGGAAAAGGGCCTCAGTCTAAACTAGGCCTCATTTTAATCTGATGCATCATATATCTATCTCTCTCTCCACCCTCCTCCTCCCAGACTGGCTTTACTCTACTTTCCCGATGTGCCTGTGGAGCCAGTGCTTCAAACATGGATGGATGGATGGATGGATGGATGGATGGATGGATGGATGGATGGAAGGATGGATGAATAGATAGAGATACAGGTAGGTAGGTAGGTAGGTAGGTAGATATATTGGTAGATATATTTACAGGTAGGTAGGTAGGCAGGCAGGCAAGCAAGCAGGAAGACAGACAGACAGACCTTTTGGACAGGTGTATGGATAGTTGGTAGGTAGGTAGGTAGGTAGATCTATATTGGTAGGTAGGTAGGTAGACAGAAAGACAGGCAGGCTGGCAGGTAGGTAGGCAGGCAGACAGACAGACAGACAGACCTTTGGGATGGATGGATAGATGGATGGATGGATGGATGGATGGATGGATGGATGGATGGACGGACGGACAGACAGAATGTGACAGCAGTGGCACTTTGGGAAAGCGGTGGTGGCAGCTTTTCCCAAAGTGCTGTCACATTCGAGGCACCAGCTCCAGTGCAGTACAACAGTCAATGGTCCTGCAGGGCCACCACCTCAAACGCCCCCCTGCCACCTTTTAGTGCCCTCTGCTGGCCCCCTTGGGGATGCTAAGAGGTGGCAGGGGGCATTCAAGGTGCCAGCTGTTGCACTGCTCCAGAGCCAGCACCTCAAATGTGGCAGCTGTGGCACGTTACATGCCACCGCAGTCGCATTCAATGCGCTGCCCCCACACCACCTCTTAGCATTCCCAAGGGGGCCGGCAGAGGGGCGCTAAGAGGCAGCAGGGGGGCATTCAAGGTGCCAGCTCTGGAGTGGTGCCACAGTTAATGGGTGAGCCTGCAGGGCCAGCACCTCAAACGTCCCCCTGCCACCTCTTACTGCCCCCTGCCAGCTCCCTTGCCTCTTAGCACCCCCTAAGGCATTCCACCACCCCTCAGGGGGCAGTACCACCCACTTTGGGAACCACTGGGCTAGAAGAAGGTCATGCAATAACATGTTCTTCTTCTTCTTTTTCTTCAGCGTTTGTCTCGCGCTCGGGTGAGGTCCGCTAATGTCCTTAAGTACTGCTTCCACACCTCTCTGTCTACCACGTATGTCGGGTCTGCCTTCGCGATCTCTAGATCGGCCTTGATCGTGTCCATCCAGCGTTGCTTAGGTCTACCACGCGGTCTCGCTCCTCCGACAGTCACCTTCATTGCAGATTTGATGATAGATTCTTCCTTGGCGCGGCTCACGTGGCCAAACCATCGTAGCCGGGACTGCCTCATGACCGTGGGGATGGGCACGACGTTGAACCGTCTACGCACTTTTTCGTTCCTGATGCGATCGAGTAGGGTGAGGCCTACCGACCATCGGAGCATTTGCATCTCCATTATCTGGAGTCTGCTTTCAACTTCTTTGGTCGCCGGCCAGCACTCTGCGCCGTATATGGCCACGGGGCGCACCACAGAGTTATAGATTTTCGCCTTCAGGCGCATCGGCATCTTCTTGTCACAGAGGACGCCCGTGACGGACTTCCATTTGCCCCACGCTGCGTTGATCCTGGCTGCCACCTCAGTTTGTAGTAGGCCTTCTTCCCCAAGAATAGTTCCCAGGTACTTGAAGGTGGAGGCGCGCGGTAGCTCCTGCCCGTTCACGTGGATGGAGCCTGTCATTTCATTGTCAGTGGTCAGGTATTCGGACTTCTTTAGGTTCAGCCGGAGCCCGAACTGCTCGAGGCGGTCGTGCCACTGTTGGACTAGGTGCTCGAGTTCAGCCTTGCACAGGTTAGCCAGGAACACATCATCGGCGTAGAGCAGCGTCCATGGGGCGGGCGTGTACAGGTCGTGTGTAATTGTGTCCATCACCAGAATGAACAGCAGTGGTGAGAGAGCAGAGCCCTGGTGTACGCCGACGGTGATATTAAACTCCTCTGATATCCCAGCTGCCGCTTTTACACGGCTTTTGTGACATCTGTATAGGAGTTGGACCCATTGTACGAGCAGCTCAGGCATGCCGTGATCTCGCAGTGCGTACCAGATGAGATCGTGTGGGACTCGGTCGAAGGCCTTTTCCAAGTCCAGGAAGGCGGTGTGGAGCGGGATTTTCTTCTCTCTGTGAGCCTCCATCAGCATCCGCACACCGAAGATGGCGTCGGTGGTGCCGCAGTTCTTGATAAATCCGGCCTGGTTGACGCTGATGTCGACGATGTCCCGAATGCGCTTATCAAGGACACGTTCGAAGATCTTCATAGTGTGTGACAGTAACCTGACCGGTCTGTAGTTGGAGCAGTCCGCTGGGCTGCCCTTTCCCTTCCAGATCGGAACAGTGGTGCTGCGGTACCAGTCGTGTGGCACTTTTCCCGTGGAAACGATGTTGTTGAACAGCTCGCACAGCCACAATGCCGAGCCCGGTAGTGCCTTTTTCCAGAAGTCGGCAGGGATGTCGTCTGGTCCCGTTGCCTTACCGTTTTTCATGGCCTTGATGGCGTCGGTGACCTCGCTGGCATAAATGCCTGAGACTGGGCCTTCAACTGGGTCACCTCGCGGGGTTCGTGGGTGTGGGAACTCCTCGGTGGAGATCTTCTCGAAGTATTGCCGCCACCTCTCGGCAGCGTCTCTGGGGTTCACGATTAAATTTCCCCTTTCGTCGTTGATCCCATGAAACTGGTCAATGTCCAGGGTCTTCCTGTGTCTGCTTTTGGCTAGGTGGTAGATCTCATTCTCGCCTTCTCGCGTGTTCAGCTTCTCATAGATGTCATCGTAGTGGGAGCTTCTGGCTGTCGCTACTGCTTTCTTGGCTGCCTTTTTGGCCACCTTGTATTCGCAGAGCTTCTCGCTGGTCTTGTCCTGAAGAAAGACCTTGTAGAGCCGTTTCTTCAGGTGTACGGCATCTTGTACTTCCGGTGTCCAGAGCCATGTATCTCGTTCGATGCGTCTCCGTCCTGGCTTGGTGCAACCAAGCTGTTGGCAGCCGGCAGTGTGAACAGTGCTCTTCAACATGGACCACGCTTCCTGTGGCCCGTCGACCATCTGCAGGAACTGCTCCGGTTTGATGAGGGGTCCCGCCATCTTCTTCTGGTTCCACCACTTGATTCGTGGCTGGTCTGCGTTCCTTTTGTCAATCTTGGTCTTGGGCTTGCTGATCCTGATCTTCGCCATCAGCGGCCTGTGCTGACTGCTCGATTCGCACGGGTACACCTTGGCGTTGAGCACGTTTTTAGCGGCTCTTCGTCGTACGATGATGTAGTCGATCTGTGTGTGGTGGCTCCCGTTTCTGCTATGGTAGGTGAGGAGTTGAGATTCTCGCCTAATGAAGCAGGTATTCGTGATGGTCATATCATGGGAGTCGGCAAAGTCCAGGATCCTCTGGCCATTCTCATTCGTATCGCCTGTGCCGTGCCCACCGTGGCACTGGTGTCCGTTTTTGTCCCGCCCTACATGACCATTCAGGTCGCCCGAGATGATGATGTCGTCTTCGTGTGGGATCTGCCTGAGTTGGATGTCGAGCAGTTCCCAGAAGGTATCCTTCTCCTCCTCGTGACATCCGGTCTGAGGGGCGTAGGCGGACAAGATGTGTAGGCGCTGCCTCTCGGTCGCTACGACGATTATCATCAGTCGCTCTGTGAGGCGCTTAACTTCTGCGACGGAACTTTGCCAGCTTGGACTGACAACCAATAACAATAACACGTTACGCTGGATATATAAAAGAAATTCGCTGTAATTGTATGTTAAAATGATCTTGAGGGATGAGGGGAAGAGATGCTGCCTAGGAAATGATCAGACAAGGAAGAAAGGATCCCACAATTGAGTTAAAGAAAGAAACTCAGGAAATACCTCACCTATCAGATCAGTCAGTTAAGTTATGGCAGGAGATTTGTACTTTCTGCCTTGCAAGATTCTGTTAATGTATACATTATACAATATATTGTAAATACTTTGCAATAAAGTACAATTAGCTCAAGCTGATGTTCTCTGTCTGGTTTACTTAAGAGGGCTGACCCAACTGATATCTCATAATTAAAAGGAATATACAACTAACAAACCAAGAGATAATTTTCCAATATTGGATTTACAAAAGATGCTTGTTAAGAATTTTAAGAATATTGTGAAAAGGGACAAAGAAAAAAAGTTATTTGAAAAGTTTAGAGTTCAAAGTTGTTAGAAGTAAAAGAATATAAAATGAAAAATTAAGTTGAACAAAGTTATTTGAAAAGCTTATAGAGCAAAACATCTGGAAGTAAAAGAATATAAAGTGGATTTATTTGATCAAGATGTAAATAAATATGTGGTTATTTCTGGGAATTCTAAATGGACTTTTGCTGATTAGGAATGAATGAAAAGTTTAGAAAGATCTGTTTTATAGGTATAGGATGAAGAGAAATTTGTTCTGTTTTAAGAGAATTATTTATACTCATTGTGACAAAGGGTGGAAGACATTTCTTTATAAATATTTCTTTTTCTTTGCTTTATTTTTAATTTTCTTTTAATTTTTCTGTATATATATTTCTGAACTTTCTATTGTTTCTCTTTAATCTTGTGTACTATGTATTAGTTTTTTCTGTGTAGCTGGCATCAGGGGGTGAAATGGGCCAACTTTCCTCCGCCAATTCACCGTGGCAACTCACCATAGTCAACTTACCATAGCCAATTTGCCATGGCCAACTCACCATGGCCCACACACTGAGGACCAGTTCAACATGAACAACTACTCCATCAGATTACTCATTGTGGGACAACTCTATTTAATTATTAAAAATAATTTAAAATTTATTTTAATATTTATCATTCACATTTCATTTTGTCACTCCTTTGGCATCCTTTCTTTAATTATTCCATTCTACTATTTCTTTGATATTAGTGTAACTCTTGTTCCATGAGGAGTAGGTCCCATGGTGAGTTGGCTACAGCAAGTTGTGGCGAGCTGGTTGTGTTGTCATAGATCTGCAGAGGGCAACATCAATGTTGTCAGTGTGCAGGGTAGTATCAGTGGCAGGACAGATGGCATGGGTACCAGGATGGTAGCAGCCCTCCATAGCAATCTTAGTTTCTCATCTGGGCCATTGGGAAAACTAATTACCCACCTGTGCTATAATGCTTAATAAAATTATTATTAAAAAACAATGACTTTCTCTGATGAAAAATTATTTGCTTGGCTTCAGGTTATATTCTTGCGTGAATTATT